GCTCGCCTTAGACATATTTAGAGAATATGTAATATAAAAACATCATACCAGAAATTCTAAAAGTATGTTCAAGACTAAATTGTTCTTGAAAAAGCATGAATAATTGAAATAAAACTTATACAGGTATATATATATATGTATAAAAAACAAATATAAAAGTGAACATTGAAGTCAACACTCAGAGGCAACAGGCTGTTTCATGCTAGACAGAATCATCAGGTGGCTTGATGACTGCATCTAGCATGAAACAGCCTGTCGCCTCTGAGTGTTGACTTCAATGTTCACATTTATATTTATGTTTACATACGCTCTATCTCTGATATTGGGCACTTTATACCATAAATATAACACACCTTAAAGGTATATTCCTTCATATATATATATATAACATATCACGTATTGAATGCTGATGGTATAATAACTCAATGTATAATAACAGAGCTAAAATTCATACTAAATGTACTTTTTGTTGCTCACCAGTAACACAAGTTTGAATTTCATGCATGATGCAATCGTCAGGTGCAAATTAAAAATTCATTTTTGGTTTCATTTTTTTTCATTGAGTTTTCAGTTTGCATGTGATGATTGAATCATGCATAAAACTGAAACTTGTATTACCTGTGAGGAACAAAATGTGTGTGTATATATATATATATATATATATATATATACACACACACGTGTTTGTGTGTGTGTGTGAATAAAGACAAAAGGAAAACCTTTTTACCAACATGTTTCATCCTCTGATAGACTTTATCAAGGTAAATGTAAGGATTTTATTTTGCAACAGTTATTTAAACTTTGTCTTTCAATGTTAGCCTGAAGAATATTTATTCTTAATTTTTAAATTTGGAAACCTAATGAAATTTTTTTTTCTGCTTATAAATACATGTTGCAAAATAAGATCTTTACATTTGCCGTGATAAAGTCCATCAGACGATAAAAAATGCTGGTAAAGAAAAGTTTACCTTTCATTTTTATTCAGATTGTATTTTTTAGAGATATTTATTTAGTTATATCGAATGTTTATATATATATATATATATATATATATATATATATATATATATATATATATATATTATATATTTCTGATTTCATTATTTCAGTCAACTAAGATAATTTTTCCTTTTGTTTATTTTATTCATATTGTCCTTTTACAAATGCATGCTAGCTGAAATTTTTACACACACACACACATATATGTGTGTGTGTGTGTGTGTGTGTGTGTGTGTGTGTGTAAAAATTTCAGCTAGCATGCATTTGTAAAAGGACAATATGAATAAAAAAAACAAAAGGAAAAAATTATCTTAGTTGACTGATTAAGTCCCTCAGAGAATGAAACGTGTCAGCTGTTTTCCACTTGTCTTTATTCATATATATAAATATATATATTCAAGCATGTTTGGTTTAATAATTTAGACATTATGTCTATTTAGTTTTAATTCTTTCAAGTCCATAAATTAAATTCTTGCTGTAGAAAATTGATTAAGAAAAATTCCAAAATTTTCTTTCAAATAATTTTTATTTTCCCAAGTACTTTCAAATTCATCTAAGACCATCTTCAGTGGCTAAAATATCTATGGCTGTGTATACAGTAGCTCTGTAAATTCAAAATATTTTTCAGTTGATTTACAGTGTTCCAAATTTGTATATGAAGGGAGGGGGGTAACTCTAGGTTTTATTTTAATATTTAAAAACGTAAAAGACTTTTAGCTTATTTTTTAGTTATATTTTAATTTAGTATTTTATATAAAACTTTGCTGCTACAAACATTTAAGAACTTTGTTGCTGTAGTCATAGTTGACTATTTATTTTTGGTACAATTCTCTTATCGCTTCCATAATTTTAAGTTTTTGCTTATTAATTTGATGTAGTACTAATGTATTTTCGACTAATATACCACAAGTAGTATGTGTGTGTATGTGTGACAATGTTATTGGTCCTGACCTGTCATTTCAACTTCAGTGACTTTCCCACCATTATAATATAACTTCCATGTACATTTTCTTTAAATATTTTCATGGTAATTGTTCTGATGAGCTTTCCTCTATGGTACTTGGACTTTATGAATTTAAGTGCAGTACTAGATTAGTAGTGAGGTCTCATCATTTCAGAGTTGAATTGGCTGGATGTAATCTAAGTTCTATGCTAACAGTTTCTTTTCTCACACTTCTTGCTTGGGGAACTCTCTTCCACCTTCAGGCTTTCCAGTCAAATCTTCAAAAATGTAAATGCAATTTCCATCATTATCTTCTCTCTTCTTAATTCTTCTTTTATTATCCTCTCTCCTTAATAGTGTTTTTTTGTCATATTCTCTCATACTCAGTAACCCCTTGCATCTTAGTGGCTTTATTGCTTGAAGTGAAATGATTAAAAAAATATATATATGTGTGTGTGTGTATGTATGAATGTGTATTGCTCTTCATCAGAATTGAGAGCTCTGGCTGCTGGTCTAGTGTTTATATACATCATGTATATAATACATTAAAAGATACCCTTTCTCTGCTGTGTGCCTATAGGTTAGGGTTAGAGTCACTGACTGATGCCAAATTGGTCGAGTTTTGAATCTGGCTTGAAGCAATCAGATATCTAGCCACACTGATGAGCTGTGATACAATGAAACAGTCTGACTGTAGATGATTATATATATTCCAAAGAGAGCTTATATACATACATACATACATACATATATATATATATATTTTTAAAGAAAAACAGACCACTTTAACGTTCCATTATAATAATTTATTTCACCAGAGCCCTTTTAAGGGACACTGGATCATCAGATAACTCTTCCAAAAGATGAAACGAAATGAAAATTCATACTTTTGATGGGTAGTGTAAGTTTTTGTAATTTAACAGAGGGGGTAATGAGGAGTGGTTTGAGAGATATGGTTGAGTTAGAGAGGGTTTATTTAATATTTCTTTCAATCATACTTAGTATTGGGGGAGGAGGGACCTGACCTTGACCTATTTAATCGGTTAACTTAACAGAAGTGATATATTGAAAAGGGGAGGAGAAAAAGAAAAAAAAAAGAGTAAGAAGGGGGGAAGTAAAAGAGAAAGAGGCTGTAAATAGGTTTCACATAGGAAGGAGAGGGTATATATATATATATATATATATATATATATATATATATATATATATAATAAATATATATATATATATATTCGGCCATTCATCTGATGATACCCGTCTACTAGGGCAGTTAGCCAATCCTGATCAGAGACTCTCAATCAACACCCACAGAGCCTACCTGTGGTTTATACTGCAACTATGCTGAACAAACCTTAATTACAGTTTCCGGGAGATAGTGTGTTATAACTTTTGGTTTTGTGCTAGCACTGCTATCGACGACCCTTAAGAGTTCCATGGGTTGACCCTTGTGAGTGAAATTGGGTAGATAGAACATATATATATGTGTGTGTGTGTGTGTGTGTGTGTGTGTGTGTATTATATATATATATATATAAAGAGAGCTCATATATATATTATATATATATATCATAGTTTTAGCTTGATTATTTATGAAATTATAGGGGAGTTGATTATTAAAGTAGACATTAACTTACTATTTTGTAAACTATCGTGGTATGAAAGTGACAAGACCTTTTTATTAAAATGTCAGGTGATCGGGTAGAATGCAAAGAAAAATTTAAATCATGTTTTTTCTTTTGAGCATTTATGAAAAATAAACACAACGCAACCTCCACTCAGATTCAAACTTGATTTATTTATTCTATTTTCTGATGATGACTATGAAATCAACTAACGCACACTAGCTGAAGTACTTATTTACATTTGAATATGAGACTAATACTTAGATAGCAACTTGCCAGAATGATAATAGAATGATTTCTTAGTACAGTAATAGTTAACTATTAAGATGGCATCAAGTGTTAAGTTATGTAAAACTGCTTGATAAATATTTTTAATTATTTTCTTGTTATAAAACTAATGTTGAATTAAAAATCCATTTAAAAATTACTGTTATTGTTTCACATAAAAAATGTTACTAGCAGATAATGATTCAATGAAATCACAATGAGCAGTGTGCATTCCTTGATCTTGATCTTATTCAATTTTTGATTTTGATGTCACCTTAATCTGCATGAATATATATTGAATAAATGTTAGGTTATTGTCATCAGGGGCACATTATGGCTCCATATATTCTTCTAAAAGTTGAAAGAGAAAGTGCAGAAAAAGTAAAGAAGAAAAAGAAGGTAAAAAAAGTGAGTGGAAAAGAAGGAAAAACAAGAAAGAAAGAAAAAAGGAAAGAAAGAAAGAAGAAAAAGTGAAAGTAAAATAGAAAAAGAAAGAAAATAGAAAAAGTAAAAAGAGAAAAGAAAATATAAAAGAAAAGAAAGAAAGAAAAAAGAAAAGAAAGAAAGAAAAAAGAAAAGAACGAAAAAAGAAAAGAAAGAAAGAAAAAAGAAGGAAAGAAAAAAGAAAAAAGGAAAGAAAAAAGAAGGAAAGAAAGAAAAAAGAAGGAAAGAAAGAAAAAAGAAGGAAAGAAAGAAAGAAAAAAGAAGGAAAGAAAAAAAAAGAAGGAAAGAAAAAAGAGAGAATAATAATTGGAAAGGAAAGAAGGAAAGAAAAAAGAGAGAATAATCATTGAACCTTGCTTTGTCAGTATGCTCTCCTGTCACTTAATTTGTAATGGCATAATTCAATGAGAGGAGGGGGGAGAAAAGGAATACAGGTTTGATTCTTGTTGGGAGGCAGTTTTCTTCAGTAGAACTTCTCGATCTAGACTGGTTGATATAAATTTCACAGTTTTATATTCTTGTAATTGTCATTTTAGATTTCTAATCAAGTCTGTTGAGAATGAAGTTAGTAAGTTGATTCACTGAATTTTATTTTGATTACTTTATATTTAGAGGATGACTTTATTCAATTTTTGATTTTGATGTCACCTTAATCTGCATGAATATATATTGAATAAATGTTAGGTTATTGTCATCAGGGGCACATTATGGCTCCATATATTCTTCTAAAAGTTGAAAGAGAAAGTGCAGAAAAAGGAGAGAAGAAAAAGAAGGTAAAAAAAGTGAGTGGAAAAGAAGGAAAAACAAGAAAGAAAGAAAAAAGGAAAGAAAGAAAGAAGAAAAAGTGAAAGTAAAATAGAAAAAGAAAGAAAATAGAAAAAGTAAAAAGAGAAAAGAAAATATAAAAGAAAAGAAAGAAAAAAGAAAGAAAAAAGAAAAAAGAAAAAGAAAAAAAAAGAAAAGAATGAAAAAAGAAAAGAAAAGAAAAGAAAAAAGAAAAAAAACGAAAAAAAAAAGAAAAAAGGAAAGAAAAAAAAAAAAAAAGAAAGAAAAAGAAGGAAAGAAAGAAAAAAGAAGGAAAAGAAAGAAAAAGAAGGAAAGAAAGAAAAAAGAAGGAAAGAAAGAAAAAAGAAGGAAAGAAAGAAAAAAGAAGGAAAGAAAAAAGAAGGAAAGAAAAAAGAGAGAATAATAAGCAGGTGAAATACAATAAAAAAAATCTTGCATTTTCTTTTTTTTTTTAAAGACAAACTCCTTACATCCAACATTTCTTCTCGTTTACCATTCAACACAATATCCTGAACTTGTTTTCCAACCTCCCCCACTTCACTCACAATTTTGCTAGACTCTTTCATAAAGATTTAATCAGCAGCTAATCAAGGGAGATTATTCATGCCAACAAATTAATTAACTGAATTATGATTGGCTTATTATTACGTGTTTGCCGAGACTTCTATTCAGATACCTGGCCCTACCAGTGTCCTCATTTTGTCAGTCACGCAACCCCGAGATTGTCTGTAAATAGGAATGGCTAAAAATAACCTGCCCACAGCTGACCAGTAGTTCAGATGTGCACTAGAGACGACAATCAGACACAAACATAAAAGCTGGTAAATTAGAATCGATAACATTTCTCTACATCATGCTACAAGCAAAGTCTTTGCACTGATCACAAACAAGACAAACAACAACAATAACACATAGAATTGGATTGGAGATGTTAGCGGAGATTGTGTGAAATGATACTTTGCAATAAAAAGCTTGATCAATGTCACACTGTCCAGTCAAAAAGGAAAGCTTTTGTCATTACAGTTTGAAGTCAGATTTTCTTTTTTCCTTTTTTGAGCGATGGATTGCTTTGGGATTGAACTGTTTAGCTTGACTGGATAGAAAGGAAAACTTGTCTGAACTTTTGTGATGTGAACATGCAGGTATTAATTAACATGGACCCCAAGAATATAAGGTCACAATGAATAGTCAGATGAATATAAGGTCACAATGAATAGTCAGATGAATATAAGGTCACAATGAATAGTCAGATGAATATAAGGTCACAATGAATAGTCAGATGAATATAAGGTCACAATGAATAGTCAGATGAATATAAGGTCACAATGAATAGTCAGATCAGATGAATATAAGGTCACAATGAATAGTCAGATGAATATAAGGTCACAATGAATAGTCAGATGAATATAAGGTCAACAATGAATAGTCAGATGAATATAAGGTCACAAATGAATAGTCAGATGAATATAAGGTCACAATGAATAGTCAGATGAATATAAATATCACAAAATGAATAGTCAGATGAATATAAGGTCACAATGAATAGTCAGATGAATATAAGGTCACAAATGAATAGTCAGATGAATATAAGGTCAATGAATAGAATAGTCAGATGAATATAGATGAATATAAAGGTCACAATGAATAGTCAGATGAATATAAGGTCACAATGAATAGTCAGATGAATATAAGGTCACAATGAATAGTCAGATGAATATAAGGTCACAATGAATAGTCAGATGAATATAAGGTCACAATGAATAGTCAGATGAATATAAGGTCACAATGAATAGTCAGATGAATATAAGGTCACAATGAATAGTCAGATGAATATAAGGTCACAATGAATAGTCAGATGAAAGAAATTAGATAATTAATAGGAATAGACAGTATCTGTCTATATTTCTGAGATGAGGTATTATGTACACTATTTACATTGTTGCAACAAAGACGAGGATGATTTATCTGTTGCAACAAAGATGAAGATGATAGTCTGAATAATGTAAATAGTGTACATAATACCTCATCTCAGAAATATAGACAGATACAGAAGGATCAGTATGGATCCAATATACCAAAAATATGGAGACAAATTGAAAAGAATGCAACAAAGATGAGGATGATAGTCCGAACAATGTAAATAGTGTTGGAATAGACATGTTTGCCTATCATCCGGATCCCACTCCTCCCTGGTCTTTTGAACAGGATAGAGGTTCATCTCTTGTTTTCTGTTTAGGATTGAGTTTCTGGTTCCTTCTAAAGTCTACTTCAATTCTATACTTCTAATATCTCTGCTTGAACTCTGAAATTTTATTCACTAATTAAATCTTGACCTTTTCAAGTCTGGAATTAGCTGTGTATCTTTCCTGTTATTTTTCCTTTTCTTAAGCTAATACAACTCCACACAGTAACCCTCTACTTTGAGTGGCTCTGGGGCCTTGTATTGGGTGAACATTAAGAAAAAAAATAAAGAAATAGCTCTTTTATAATATATTTGTTACTGTTTTTAGTCTGTGTCAAGATTCAACACTGGTCATGTAAAATAACTATTATAGTAATTAGTAGTATAAAAATAGATTCATTTGTTATTGGTAAATTCCCAATGAAGAAATACTGTAAAAAGTATAAAAATATTTTTTTAGAGAAAAATACGTTTGTAAAATTGCTTTTTTTTTTTCTTTAAGAACCTGGCACACTTTTTGGAAGAATTGATAACAGAGAAAGAAATTGCAGAGCTTGTTGCAAAGTCTACAAACAGATCCTAAGGTTTGGATTCACAAGGCTATAGAGCTTTCTTTTTCCCTGCTATTTAACCCATAGCAGGAGAGAAAAAATGGATTCATACATTTTTTATGTGTAGTTGTTAAAAGTAAACAATCTCAGCCAGAATTAGAATTTGGCAATGCTGATCCCACTTTCCACACTGATAACGCCAACTAATATATATATATATATATATATATATATGTGTGTGTGCGTGCATGTAATATATATATATATATATATATACACACACATATATATATATATATATATATATATATATATATATATATATATATGTACACTACAGTTCAAAAGTTTGAAGCAACCCCAGAATTAACTAAATGTTGAGGAAACAAAAATGTATATTTATTATGGGTAGTACAAATTTTAGCTCTGTTATTTTATATCGAACACTGTTTTATTAAACAAAGTCACTCACTTAACGATTATATATATATATATATATATATATATATATATATATGGGATAATGATATATAAATTTTTATATATCAAGAAGTTTTGGAGGAAATATTTAGGACAAAGTGGAAAAAATTTTTGTGTGACACATTTCGTCCCTTACCACTTCAGTGGATTATGTGTGTGTGTGTGTATATGTGTATACATATCTTCTTAAATAGTGCAGTGAAATGATTTACACATAATTGGTAAATAAAGTTATATTGCTTATATTTTCATGTTTATTTTTCATTATCATAGCAACAGAAAATCCAGTGCATTTCCCATGTGTAAATGGGACAAAAAAAAAAAAAAAAAAAGCTAGGAAAAATAGCAAGCCTGATCAAATAAATATTATCGCTGAAAATATAATTTACAGTTGTGAATAGTGAAAACAAATAACAGGTGAAACATTTTGATTTGATAAAACAATAAATGAACAAAACACATTTCTTCTGCATATATTTATATGAACAACTCAAAATAATTCCTTTTGTTTCATGATTTCATTTCTCTTAACCTATTCACTGTTTCCTTGGATATTTTAACCCATACTATGTTTCTTTCAGTATTCCAATTTTAAAATTGCTATAGATGATTACTTATGCTTTATTACTGGGAATAAAATGAATTCTGTTAAGCTAGTCATTTCCACTGTGGAGATTTGAATTTCTGTTTATATTAGTGTTGTTATAAAAAAATTGCTGTACAGGGTGCGATGGGTAAATTTTCACCATTTGATATTTTTAATTTTGTACATTGTTTTTTGATTTTGTCAACTGTACAGTATAGCAGGGTCAGTTGGGCACCGTCTGTGAGAAAAAGGGCGCTATGATGTGACACATCTGGCTACCTTAATCTCCAGCCTGCAACGACTCGATTATTATGTGTGGAGCACAGCTGATCAAAAGTCCAACAAAACTCCTTTTAATAATAAAAAATGAACTGAAGGCAAAGATTATGGCAGCATTCACCAACATAAACAAGGAAACCATCCAAAAGAGTTGCAGGAGATTCTGAAGTCATCTGGAGGCTGTAGTTGAAGCCAATGTTGATTTTATTGAATGAAGTTACTTTTTAGTATTTGGTGATATTTTTGTAGAATTTTCGTAAATATATCTGTTAAAACGAGATTCTTAGTATTTTCATTTTCACATAATGTAGGTGACAATTTATCCATCGCACCTGTATATAATGTTGCTAAAGTTAAATTCCTTAAGCCATAAAAAGGACACTAAAGCACCTCAACAAAAATTCAAGGTAAGAAAATCCCAGACACTTCTTATATTTTCTAACTAAATTATCTGGACACTCATTGCACACATCTATAAAAAAAAAAAAGACATACAAGAAAGGCTGTATACATTTCACTTATTCCTTATGCTACCATTCTATCAGATTCTGATCTATAGTTGATTGACATTTGACCCCAAACTCACAATTTTAATCACTACTGATTCACCACATAACAAACAGATAATAAATAATACATGTTTTGTTTTTCATTTACATGAGTAATTTTGTACATGTAAATGTTAGAGAATTTATAATTATTTATCCAGAGTTATAATTTCTTGACAGTATGTACCTAGACTTAGTGGAAATGTATTAAGAAAAGCAATAATTAAGCAGTACTAAATAAGATGAGAGATATCCCTGGACATGAATGTCAGAATGTGTGAACAATCTACACCTGTTGATTAAATAAACGTTTCAATTTAAAGATCCTTGAAGGTTATCTGGATCCACAATCACTTGATGAAAGCCAGGTCATAACAGCAGTGATAGGAGACAATATCTGCATGCAAATGATTTATACACAATCTTTGGAATATACAACACAACACTGCATCAAAAAAATACCACAAGAAGTACATGTTCATCATGTGGCAATAATTCTTTGAAAGGAAAGAAATTTAACAAGTTAATGATACTTTCGGGAGACTAAATTAATAATATTATAACTATATTAGCTTTCTTCACTAATAAATTTATAAAAGTCACCATTGCAAATATCTAATGTAGTATTTGGAACATACATAAAACTGCCTACATACATTAAACATTTCTTTTAATGTGTTTATTTTTTTCATGAATTCAAAATGTCAGATTGATGTAAGCGTGACCTTTAGCTTGAAGCTAATTTTCAAGAAACGAACCTCGGAAATAACTAAAGAGGTAAAAAAAAATTAAGTTACTTAATAATGAAATTTAGAATTGGCCAATTGAATTGATTGAATTATTAGTGAATAAA